GCATCGCAGGTTGGAACAAATGAACCTTGCTCAAATGTTTCAGATGCAGCCATCAAGTGAAAGCATGCTGAAAAGTGCACAGAAGCGGAACATGAGTGTACAGAAGCAAACTGAATGAAAGAATCCCCTCTCATGTCTTATAGGAGCTTCATAAGCCAGGATAAAAAAACCACTGTAACTGCAATAATGGTATAGAGGAATGTAGCACTAATTAGCAGTAAGCAAAATGCTCCAAGCACAAAAATAAATAAGAGCTTTGGAATTTCTTGTGCAATCTAATGCAGTCACCGGCACTATTGTCACTCAGCACAAGAACTCTTTAACGTTGTCGAGATCAAATGAATACATGGAGTCGACTAACTTTCCGATCCTGAACTGAATAATCCGTCTTCTATGTTCTTGAATTTCATTGATTTATGATGACAACAGTTATCACTGACATTGGGCAAAACAAGTAAAGCACAGCACATTCTCGGCTGTTAAAATGAAGCTTCGCAGTTACAATGGTGCTTCAGCAGACAAGAATTATTGGCCAACCTGTTGTAACTTCAGCGTATGTACATAATTTTCTGCAACCATTTGAGCAGCATTTCTGCACCGTGCCGCAGTCGCTGTCTTCCGCGCATTCATCATCTTCCTCTTTCACGCAGTTTGCTTTACTTTGGTCAATGCTCGGACACTCGCCCAATTTAGTTGTCTTCCTGAGAGATGACGCAGGCATTTCTGAAACAACGATCTGTAGAAACAATCTGTAGAAAGCTGTGCTGAAATTAAAAATCTCCTAGCACATCATTACTTCATCGCGAAACACTCGTACCAAGCGTTTTTATAATCACCGAACATTTGCTGATCGATGTTTCTGAGCTGATTCTTGTGGCAGATTTGAAAGCAAACAGCCAGTGCTTCATAAGAAAATTAGGTGGAGCATTTCGACCAGGCAGTTGAAGAGATCGCTGTGATTACTCGGATAATGCGGTGAATGAGTTGCATCAGGATTTCAAGGAACTCTTTAGTATGGCCACAAAACAGTATGCATGGCAAGCGCAATTTTCAGTTGCCTTACGAAGAAAGTAAACTCGCCTGCAGGCAAGCACGACAAACCGCATCCATTGAAGCAGCATTTCTCAGCAACAGAACATTCTTCGTCACTTGTGCAGCTGATCAAGCAGTTAGTCACTCGCGGCTCATCCAATGAGGGACAGGAACCAGGATTTAAATTCGGCTCTAAATCCGCGAAAGAAATTGCAAACTTTTTCTTTTTTAACTTTAAACAGAAGATTTTTTGTAAATGAAGGCGAACAATGGCGTGACTTTATGAATTTGCATCAAGATTTAAGCGAATACGCACAAGATGCCGTTTGCATCACTCTTCCTCCAAAATTCCATGGGAAAACGAAACTGAAATCTCTCGCCTTGAAATTTGTTGTTGACCCATCGATGAATTTTCCTATTACGCTGATACGTATAGTACAAAAATTCCTCTCCAGTTTCGCCTTATTTTTAGTGTAATTGGCTGTTAGCTACATGCGCGACAGACTGTAAGAAAGAGAAATCAGAGGTGAAACTTATTCAAAATTTGATTGCCAGTCTCTGGTCTCAGCAGTTTCTAAGGCAACTAGATAGAAAGCCAAAATTCAAAGGCCCATTTAAAATTCACCTTACTGATGGATGTCGCCGTTCGGGAAGAAGCCGTAGTGGATGGATTCTACCAAAAGCTGGCAGGGCTATTGCTGGATTTTCCTCCTGAGGGTTGTTTACAAGTAAACAGGTAGCGGTTTTGACTCTCGTTCAAGAGCTAGTACCAATTTTTTATCGCCGTGTATCACTTACTGCAGAAAAAAAGTGACATAGAGAATTCTCAGCAAAAAAGGTGGATGTACTTCGTTTCGATATGAATATAAGTAAAAAAGAATTCACTACCTGTTCCTCCACAGCAGTAGCCATCCAACATTCGAAATTTATGGCAGAATGATGGCGTGTCCACTGAGGTGCACTGTGTATTACTGCTGCACCGTATAGGCTCAAACGTTGCTTCGTCGAAAATTGGCAATCCGTGAGGACAGGCATTTATGATGCAGTCCGGCACACCAACGCACGGACCATCCGTGCACTCATCCACAAGCCGAGCAACGCACACCTCCTTTTTACTAGGACAAGTGATTCCCTGGAAAATGATTCAAACAGCTCTCATGCATTATTCTTGTGCTTCCTGAAGCTAGATTTTTGTAGATTCAATAAAGAGAATTGCAAAAGCGCAAAAATTTTTAGGAAAAAATGTAATTAGGAAAAACGTGCAGAAAACTAGGATAGCTCCATGAAGCTTAGCCGTCAGCCAATACCTACCGGTTAGGAATTGCCCGGAACAAACTTAGAAGAGGAAGTACAGTGCCGGTCTTCTCAGCTTAATGCGCGATTTCGGAAAATTAAATCCGCAGGATTTGAAACCGTACCACCACTTCCCCCACATCACTTCCCTCATCACCACAGCGCGGGGTTTCCGATCTAATTTTGTACATATTAATGTTTGACGTGTGATATAACTTCAAGCACGACTCTAGTCAAGCCGATTATGGTGGTGTAGAAGTGGCAGCGGGATGGAAATACAACAAGGATGTGTCAGGATACGTCATCAACTTCCAGCAAATTAAAGTACACCTGGTTGAGCTGTGGCAACAGAAATCACTGACAGCTTGACTGTAGTACACTCTTTGAAAGAAATAAATTTGACTTAAAACATCGTTACACTCAGAATACAGTTGCGCCAGAATAAGCACGTGAAACTACGTAGATTTTTATTATTTTTTGTGTGTTTTAAGTTTAGTCCTCGCTTTCACAGTCCTTCTAGATACTAGGTTCTGCTCCACGCAGACGTCCGTATTTGATATTTCCATGTGTAAGTAGTTACAGGTGAGGTCACACTAAAGACTGGAGGCTGATTCATAGTTATTTGTGGCGAACTAAAAAAGCCATACTGTCCCAAAATTTCCAAATTATAGCTCCCATGTCCCTCGAGCCTTAAAATTAGTCTGGATTTAAACCTGTGGTTATGGATCAAAGATGGCCTCGTGCAGGCTCAATCGTTAATTTACAAAATTTCAGCTTTTCAAAATTCGTAATCCTGGAGTTGAATTATCTGACAAATGCATGTACGTATGTTCACACACATACACACACATACCAAAAAATATGTGTCGCTTCATTTTAATGCTTTCTCATCTGCATAAATGCAAGAAGGCAAAGAGACTGTAGATAAGACAGAACAAACTGAAGGCACCTTACACGGATTTTTACATTTGCATATGGCACAACCATTGCTATCCGTTTCAATTCCATATGGGCAGTCTTTTTTCATTGGGCACGAAGAAACTGGGCACTGGCGACGAGCTAAAAATGTTTACTTTCAACTGATCTAATAAATATTCTCAAGACATCTCCATGGTGAGTAGAAATATCGCGCAAAGGCAAATAAGGAATTGGAAAGTTGTGGAGTCAAAGTTTTTGCAATTTAGAGGACACCATCGGAACACCGGCAAAAACAGGAAAGTATGCACTGTCTGTAACAGCAGTGTTGGAAACTATAGACTGGTCTTGGTATACGTTAAAAATTGCAGAGTGGTACTGGCATATATGTGAATAGCGCACACATAAGTATCTCAGTTACTCTTCGGAGCAGAAGTCTCGATAAAGTAATGAGCAAAAAGTCACGGTTCGAAGGATTCAGAGATAGTGAAAATGAGAGATCATTCCTTTCCGGCCCATATCATTTGTGAAAAGGGAATCCATTCAGAAAGAAGCAAGAATTCTGCGAGCTAAATGTACTTACTACGACAGTTTGGCGAAACAGTGTTTGGCGTTTTGGTGCCTTCTTCTTCGACACCCGCCTTCGACACGCACCAGCAGTACAGGTCGTCGCACTGAATCCCCTCGTAAAAGCCATCTGCAAAAACTGCTAATTGTCTGATCTGCTAAAAATGAGCAGCATTTACTCCTTATTTCAGATTCTCAAAGGGACTGACGTCTTATCTGCTTTTTTGAAAGAGAGCGATTTGGAACCTTTATCGCAGCGAACTGCATTACTTCGACCAAGCTTCTCGTAGGCAGCTTTCTGATGCAAACAAACTGAAATATAAACACAGAATAATGTGTGAATCCAATGCAGTTTCTGCATTCAAAAAATATACGATAGTCTGCACCAGAGTAGCCGATGCGATCATGCGTTTTGCGCCACTCTGTCCAGCAGATGTGTGCTGTTAAGAATTTTCACTGCTTTACAATTTGGTGTGTGCAAAAATAGTCGTAATGTTGTCTGGTCCTCGAGCTACGAAATTTCTCACCAAAAACTTCGCATATCCGTACCTGAAAAGTAGACGCCTGTCTGCAGCTGAAAGTAGACGTAAAATTTGCAGGGCTCACGAGAACGAAATACGTCTTCAACAACTTCCAAGCTTTTCTAGTTAGTGAGTTGAAAATCTTGGGCAGAACGCAATCCAAACACACAAACACAAACGTACACATACACACACGCACACAAGGTTTCGACAATATACGGTTTATGCAACTGTGGCAGCGTAAGTACTGTTAATTGCTTGCCTGTTGTTTTTTCCGGATGTATGCATCTATTACCACAGGCAGTCATACAGCACTTCTGGGGTTCCGGACACTGACTATCTGACTCGCACACTGCACTAGAAGGAAATTCACAGTCAACGTGTTGCTTGATTGGTGGACAATGGTCCTTTTGCACCAACACATCTTCGGCAGTCCTTGGCTCATCTGTCGAAACCCCTGAAAACTGACGCAAATAAGTATCATAGCACAACCACATAAGACATGATCAGGTATATGGAGATAATCGACCTGGTGTTGGAACGCAAATCGTCCCACATCCGTCAAAACAGCATTTCGAACCAGTTGAGCATTCGTCATCTGCAATTCCATGTAGATTTATTTACTATTTGCTGTTTGCGACAAAGCAGCGTGTGGTTTGTTCCTTCGGTTAGCCGCGCTCTTATTATGACGGTAAGCTAGCGTTTACATGTATAGTAATTAAGCCTCAGCCATTCTGCTTTCAAGATATCCTGAAAAATCGAAAGACTTTCGAGGATGCAGCTGTTTCTTGCAAAACCTTTTGTTCTTGGACAAAAAACTAATAAAGCTTCTTTTCGTGAACAGTGGCATAATGGACGTTGTTAGGGCGTTTTTTTAAATCAAGAATCATAAAATACGCATTTTTAACTACAGAATTTGGTATATTTCGCCAAGAAACAACGTTCAAAGAAAAACCTTCACAAGTTTTTAATTTTGTCCATAACAACGAAAGTGTGAATAAAAAAGAGCCAGTGTAGTAACCTGTTTTGCACTGAATTTCGCACGCCTCGCTGGGCTCGATATACAGTTCTGTAGTGGCGCATCTTCGGCGATCAGGCAACTGCCCCTTAAGTAACGGGCAACAAAGTCCTTTTGATTGTATACCAACGCTATTGCACCAGTATTCATCCGGACAATCCGACTCGCTTTCGCAAAGCACAGAAGTGGTAACTGCGTCTAACGACTCATACCTTGAGCAGATATCTGGCACACCTGCAATATGATAAATAAGCTCGGAATCAAAAAAACCGATTGTATTTATGCACAAATAAGACAGTCATCCAACAGACAAAGGGCAGTGAGAAGCAGCAGTTGTCATGAAGCTGATCGAGCGTTCAATTCCGCCAATCGGACAACCAGTTTCTTTACAGATCACATATTCGTTTCGATGGTAAATTAATATTGCCAAGAAATCAAAGCAGCCATCAGCTTATTTGTAAGCAATCTCTCAAAAGAACAAACTATCAGCAGCCTTACCAGCATTTGTTGTTCTTGGCGTTTGTTATCGCTGTGCTACTTCAGAAGTGCTGTCGTTTCTCTTTTGATTTCTCCATGTGATAACTCAGATTCTCTCTTATATTCAAACGTCACAATACGGACTGAGATTACCTTTTTTCAGAAAGAAACAAATCTTGCTCCAAAATTTTTGAGTATATCACCCGCCAGATAATTCGTAAGGTCACTGTGACAAACAATGCAATTACTAGGAGAGCAGTTATTAAGACGTTATGGAAGTAATCAGTGCTACGAAGCTGAGATATACTATACCACACGCAAATTTTTGTACGAAAATGATTTACATCGCGGTTGGTCCGGGCAATACACGTTTTCCAAGCATTCCACACTGACCATTACACAAACGTGGTCTTGTGGACACGATATATTTGTACATGGGTCGCGGCATTCGCATGACAAGCACCCTTCTTGCGTTAACTGGAAACCGTGGATGCAAATTTTTGAACATTTAAATTCTTCGCAATCGAGCCGCCTTTCTGAAAGAAAAAGTAAACTGGACCTAGACTTTTCAGGGTGCTGGTCTTTAGTGGGATATCTAGATTGGCTGATTTAGGAAAATGCACATTACAGTCCGTAGCTGGACAGTGTGAGGAGAAGGATTTCCTGCAAATGCAAATTCTTTGGCGTTACTGATGGTCTCAAATTATTACCTTTCTTGAGAATTACAATGAGAGGGTACAGAATGTGCCGCTAATGAAGAGTAAAACTTTTATAGTATAAAATTATGAGATATGTAATGGGATGATGTTCAGGGAAAGTCATGAGCGAAAGATTAATTGCAAAGGGAATAACAAGGAGTATTTCTCAAGCATAGCACCGCTAAGTTTCGGATTTTAAAAACCCCTTAAACAGGACAAATTCAAAGTGTTTAGAACTGAGACCGTGGCAAACAGGCTCCTTATAGAAAGCGACTCGAGTGGCTGGAATTTCGCTGCCATTAACTGTATCAACACAGTAACATGCACCATTTTCGCACTGGATTTGTTCGAAATTGCCTCGCTCATCACATTTCGGGGCTCGAGCTCGTCCATAAATCTCTCGTGTTATCATCTCATGAACACATGCTGAAACGTGAAACGAATAGATGGTTCATTTAAGCCACCATACTTGAGAATACCAAAATCGCCCGAGCTATCACTGTGGGTTTCTCATTTTAGTGATGTGACTATGCTTCAGCTACAGTACGCTTAATAACTTATGCCTTCTGCAAACTGCAAGCACAGTGCCCAAATTGTACTGCTCGGGAAAAGAATAAAAACACTTGCAAGTTCATTATCACCCACAAAATCACTGCTTCCTATTCTCATAGACCGGCTGTGTCGCTGGGCGAAAAAAAAAAACGTGAAAATTAAGCTGAGCAATGCAAAATTCAGCGAGGCACAGACTGTGTGTGCCC